TCAAAAAGGCGTCAATACTGGACAACGAGGGCATGAGGTTCAGGAAGTCGGTGCTCGACGGCGAGGGGATGCGCTTCAAGAAGTTGATGGCCAACCAATTGAGTCGATTGCGAAAGTATAAGTACATCCCGTGGGAGTCAAGCCCTGTGGAGGAGCGCAGGGATTCAGACGGCGGCACATCTAGCGATATACTCGAAGGTGAAGGCATGCGATTTAAGAGAAACTACCAAGATGATGTTGATAGTGGTGATAGTAGCGGCGAGATTGAGCCCGGTAGTATTAGCGACGGCCTGGGTGAGCTAGGTGGCAGTAGGCGTAGGCTGACCGGTAGCCGGTATTCCCATAGGCGCAATGATCATAACGTGAATCACCATAATTATAATGGTTACGCCCCCACAGGCCATAAGGTTAAACCAATTTTTATCGTATATAGAAGAAAATGAGCAGGCACATGTTTTATTAATTTTTTTGCTATTGGCTGTAAATTTATTTGTGAGTTGAATTTAGTGTAATAATTGCTTTTTTAAATGTACAGTATATGTCTTAATAGTAATATAAAATATAACTGAATTACGGTAATAATAAGTAATTAAATATTTTTTAGTTATATTAATTTTATGACCGAATTTATTATTTTAATTTTACACAATATTGCATTGTGTTATTTATTTTTAATTATCTAGCATGGTTGTATTTAAAACAATGTGGCAGTTATATAATTAATGTTATGCGTTTAATTTAGCGTAAATTCAATGTAACTATTATGACATTATCATTTTGTTTGTTTGTTCTTACCTTGTCACTCATATATTTTGAAACATGCTAATTATTTTACGCAATAGTGAGTCCTATGTTGACATTTCAGTAAATAATGAACGAGTTTAAAAATTCTGCGGCAGAATATTCTTGACGTATATAATTATAGTTAATTCATTTTCTTATGTATTGTGATTTATAACCAAAATATTCGCATTAATGTATAAAAATATATTTAAAATTTTAACCAAGATTTTTCAGCTCTACTTTATAATACAATTTGAGTGTGTTTTTGATGAATTGCTTTACAAAAAAATAACTAAAACTATTTAATTAATTCATGAATATCTGGTCTACAAAATAAATAAAACAAATTAGTTTTAATAAATATTTATTAACATTATTAACAACTTATTGCCAATTCTTATAATACATGATATATTTGACTATAAATTATAACTATTCATATTAATACTGATTATTATTATTAATATACAGTCTATTCTTATTACCAACAAAAACAATTATTGTCTAATAAACAATTTATGTCTTATAAAAGTACTATAATATTATACTAATAAATAGCATTTATTTCACATCAAATACTATATATAATTATGTGTTATATTTATATAAATATATAATAAATACTGAATTATGCGATAATATTTATGTTTCCTATCAATTAATTTTCATTAAAAAAGCATTTCATTAATGCATTGGATTTGAAAATCACTGTTCATTTCACTCTCTATTGCCTATCATTTTCTTCTATACACTACTGTTATATACAATGATATATAACTGTTATATATAAAAGTCAATAGCGTTTTAATCTGGGTCCAATTTTTACTTCATTGTTTAAAAACACCTCCATCTATATAAAAACAATTTAATTAATTTATATGATATACAGGTATATAAAAGGTGTGCGACTGTGTATTACTTGCACTGATTTAATTAATACATTAATTAATGTAGAGATTATCACAAAGTATGTCATACTCTCTCGTATACGATATACAAATCCCATAAACACTCACTCAATCTCTCGGCTATTTTTATCATTTTAATTTTATAATAACAATTTTTACCATCATTTATTTATTTAATCAAATTAAATCTCACATCTCTCTCTCTCTCTCTCTCTCTCTCTCTCTCTCTCCTTCATTCACTTTCTCTGTATGTTTACATTTGTATAGTATTCAAAACGTCGAGAAAACTCAACTAAACATGATCAACAAAACAATGGTCCCCGATGCTAATCATAATGAACATGTTGACATTTATTTATTTAAATCACAATTTATTTAAACCCAATTAATATCTAACTGTTTAGTAAATACAAAAAAACAAATGTTTTTATTAATGTATTATATATTTAATGGGAAAAATAAATCAATGAATAAAGCAATCAATGAATTCACGAATTCATACCACAAAAAATGAAACAAAAAAATAAATTTACAATTAATTAAAAAATAGTAAACATTTTTAAAATTAATTAATTGAGCAATTTTAATGCAAAATAAATGTCATGGTATTTAACAACCAAATAAATAATTAACATTTTATTATTAATAAAAATCTATGAATATTATTATAAATATTAATGTTGTTATAAAAATAATATTATTATTACTGATTATAATTATGTGTATTTAATACGGATATTATTAAATAAATAGAAATTTAAGTTGCATTATGGTACAACTAAATTATTTAATTACAAACCAAACTAAAATAACATTAAATATTACTAAATAATTACAAACATAATTAAAATTAATACAACAAATTATGTACAATAAATAAATAAATTAAACAAGATTAATATTACTACAAATTGTGTTCTTGGTCACTTGCTCGTACGTTGGAGGCCGATCATCAATACTAGCTTGATTACCATGCTCATTTAATGCTGGCATATTCCCACCAAAATCAGGTACAGTCAAAGCACCGGTACGTTTCAAATACCATTCAGTAAGTCCGGTAACAATCAGTCCCAATAGAGTAACACCAGATACCAGTGTTAATAAAGAAACCAACTGGATGGTTAACACGCCGTGTGGTTTGGCCCATAATTTGACCATGGTGGCGCATGTTAAGAGCACGCCCAGCGTTACGGTGATGCGACCAAGTTTAAATAAAACAAGCAGCGTGGTGAATTTGTTGCCGTCCGCGTTTTGCATGTTGATAATACTTTATTGGTGATGGTATAATTCATTACGGTATTAGTCCTTAATTGTATGGTTTACAGATAAAATTAACTAATTAATAAAATTGATCTTTATAGTAGTTGGTAAAGTTTTCAAACAATGCAATTTATTTATTTCACTTTATTTCACTGCCGCAATAATCATGCACGTAATATTACTTACGTTCATAAACTTATCTAGATTAACAAATACAGTAATGTGCCTGCGTTATTATTTAAAAACGCATAGTAGTTAGCTTAACGCTTTACACGTAATAATCACCTTTATACTATACTTACTTTTTCTAACTACACAACTTGAACTCACTCTAACTTTTGAACGGATTATCCGATTATGATCTGGACTTCACCAAAATATAGATCAACAATTCCTATAATTGTAAATTATAGTTATGCTTAATAATTCCGAAGAGATTGTTCAAATATCTCTATTATCCACCGAGATAATTAAGTTCAACGAATTTTTACATAGAAATAATGTTAAATTCAAACTCATTTTTGGTGGAAAATGTCAAGCAAGTTTTAAGTAATTTTTAATGCTGAAAAGGAATTAATCTATATATCAAATTGAATTTGAACATTTTAAACGTATAGAATTGTTCATTATGCAATTCTAAATCAATCTAGACGATAAAATTCTGCCAATGGGCATTTAATGTAATTTTAATT